CCCAGCTGGAGGAGCAGATAAACAGGGACACTCTGCTCTCCTGGTTTTGTGCATCGTCACACAGCTCAGCCTGACCCTGAGTGTTGAGATAACAAAAAAACATGAGTTTTTCCCCCCCCCAACTTTAATTTTGGGGTCACATTTCCCAGGTGTTGGCAAAAAGAAGAGTTAATTTGGTGCAGTTACAGTGCTAGAGAGATTTTTAAAATGCCCAGGCAGCACAGGGTGATGATTTCAGAGGGCCCTGGGACTGTTTGCTCTCTGCCCATGGGGCTGTGCCAGGGAAGAGGCATGGAAAGCTCTGGGAGAGCTCTGGGGCTGTGCTGGCCCTGGGTGGGTGAGCTTGGTGCTGCTGGGGCCACTCAGCTCTGAGCTGTTGTCCTCTTCCCTGAGAGGAAAGGATGTCTGCAGAGCAGGAAGGTGCTGGCCCTGCTCTCAGTTTGCTGTGTTTGCAGTGGGGGCTCCGTGCCTGGCTCCTCTCAGGGATTCCTGGGAAGGCTTTTACCTGATGAGACATGTAAAGACAACTGCCTGGCCTGGAAAACTGCCCTGTGTCCTCACTGGCTGCTCCAGAGCGGGTGGAAAAGGTTCTTCAGGCTGATTTTCCTCCTGGAGGTTTAACAGAGAACCACAGAATAACAGAATGGTCTGGGCTGGACCTTAGAGCTCATCTTGCTCCAGCCCTGCCATGGCCAGGATGCCTCTCCCTGGCTCAGGTTGTTCAGGGTCCTGTCCATCCTGGCCTTGGACACTTCCAGGGATGTGGCATCCACACCCTCTGGGCATCCCCCAGGCTGTGCCATCATCAGTGCTCCCAGAAACAAGACCCAGAGCAGAGCCATGCAGGGATTTCTGTGTCCTGCCAGTGTTATCTCCATGCACATCCTCCCTGGCACCTTCTGAGCATCCCAGCTCTAGCAGGGCCCCTGCTGTTAGTGCCAGGGTTTGTTTTTTGGGCATCACCAGTGTGCCCAGCAGTCCTAAACCCACAGGAAGAGCCCTGGTCCCCCCCAGTCCCCCAGCAGGGAGCAAACAGAACTTTCTCAGCAGCCCTTGGCTGGTGGAGCATGAAGTCAGCAGGCAGCAGTGCCCTGTTTTGTGCACAGGATATTCCCAGGGCTGGCTGTTTCTCCCTGGGAAGGTTTGCTCTGTGATTTGGAGCCATTGTAGTCTGGAGCAGTTTCCGAGGTACTTCCCCTCTGGGATCTCTGCTGCCCTTGGCCAGGGCCCAACCCCTGAGCCTTGGAGGCCAGGGGCTGCCAGGGCTGGGCTGGGAGCCTGTCCCCAAACCACCCTGCCACCAGCCCTGGGGACAGAGCCTGGGGAAGGAGCACCAGTGCATCCCTGCATCTGTGGGAGGAGGGTGCCCAGAGCAGCTGGGGCTGCCCCTGGATCCCTGGCAGTGCCCAAGGCCAGGCTGGACAGGGCTGGGAGCAGCCTGGGACAGTGGGAGGAGTCCCTGCCATGGCAGGGGTGGCACTGGATGGGCTTTAGGGTCCCTTGCACCTCAAAGCAGTCTGGGATTGTGTGACATGACCCCTCCCTCCCAGCCTGGGAATGTGTCCCTCACACAGCCAGGAGAGTCAGTGGTGAGAGAACAGCCCTGGGCTCTGCTGGGCACTGAGCTCAGGGCACCAGAGGTGTCAGACTGAGTCTGGCTTCTCATTCCTGTGGTGTCTCAGCTTTGCAGAGTCACACAGAGCCCCAGGGGACTCTGCACAGAGGGGTGTCTGCATTCAGGGGCTCGGTGTGTGGGGTCTGGGGGCTCCTGCCACTCTCTGGGGGCTCCTCTCATGATTTCTGGGCTACAGAGTGCACAGTCCCTCCTTGTGTGCTGTCTGCTGGGGTAGGCAGGAGCTCTGCATGGCCAGACCTGTCCCTGGCTGCCGTGGGGTTGGGTTCCAGCCTGGGGGAGCTGTTCCCATGGAGCAGGAGGAACTTTTCCTGCACATCATCCTTGGCTGTGGCAGGGCCTGTCTGGGGCTGGTGCTGGCTCGGGCCATTCTCTGCAATACCTGCTGTGTTCTCCTGCCCTCCCTGGGCAGTGTGGGGTGCTGGGACTGCCCTGGCTCAGCAGTGGCTCCTGAGCACACAGCACCTGCAATAACATGTTTGTCTCTGGGGGCAGTGGCAGAAAGCCACTGGCAGCCACTTCAGTCACTGCCTTTATCTGGTGGCAAAGGCCCCCTTCACACCATCTGCATCCTCCTTTCCCAGCCCTGGAGATCAACCCCTGTTTTCTCTCTGTAAATATTGGCAGGCCAGCAGCAGCCTCCCTGAAGGAAAACAATCAGGGGAGGCTGTTCCCAGCTCACAGGGCAGCGTGGGCAGGCACAGCTCCCTGACCCCTCCCCAGCCTCCCCTGGGTGGGCAGCTCCCTGCCCAGCATGGACCAGGCTCCAGGGACACCTGCCACGAGTTTTATCCCAAATAACACCCAACCCTTCACCTGGCTGCATCCCAAAGGGCTTTGCCTGGTTTGGAGGCAGCTGTGGGTGCTCAGCCCCTGCAGGTTGGGCTTTCCCCAGTCCAGGTGAAAGTTTTTGGGAGGGCAGGTTAATGTGAGAGGGAAAACCAGAGCTCTTTCTTTGGGAAATGAAAATTGGAGAGGTTAAATGTCACTGTGGTGATAATAAAACATGTACATGTTGGATAAATGCAATTTTGGCTGTTCATGTGCCCCCTCAGCCTTGCCCACAATGGCTGGCACACACTTTGGGCTGGTTGCCCTTCCCTGAGTTCTGGAGCAGAGGGAAATGTGCTCTCCTGGCTGTGCCACTCCTGGGTGGCCGAGGCTGGGGAGCCTGCAGCAGCTCAGGGGGAGCAGGGGGCACTTTGCTCTCAGCAGCCAGCAGGAGCTGAGCATGGCTGAGTGCTAAATTCAATCAAAGAGATGGGCTGTAATTGAATCAGGGAGGGGCTCAGGGCAGGGCTAGGTGAGCCCTGTGTCTGTCACAGCCAGGGGACAGAGATGTCCTTGGAACTGCTTTCAGCCTCACTCCAGCAGAGCCACAGGAGCTTGGCAGGGCTGGGAGTGTGCAGCAATTCCAGCCTCAGGGTGGGCTCCTCACAGCTCCCCACGGCTTTGGGGCTCTGCTGAGCTCCTGCTTTGTTCTCTTCTCACCACAAGTGTGGGGCAGGGAAGTGCCAGCCTGGATTCCATCCCAGCAAATGGTGCCCATCCTCCCCTCTAAAGTGGGAATGACTTCCTAGGGATGAGTGGGTGTCACAGTGGTGCAGCCTGGTGACCTGCTGGTGTGGGACTGGGACAGACTGGGACATGCAGGATGGGAAAAACTCACTGTGACACTCCAGGGATGCTCTGAGCATCACTGCCACCCAGGATCTGGGGGCAAGGGGGAGCCCCACCACTTCCTGTCCCTGAATCCCAAACCTCTGCTCATTCTGATTGTGCTCAGGAAGCCTGAGAAGGAATTTTCAGTGTTGAAGCCTGGAGGAATAAGTGTGGGGATGTCCAGGCATAAGAAAGCTCAAACTTTCTCCTTCATGGAAGTCTCCTTGCAGGGGCAAAGGACTGAGCCAGAGCCCTCTTTCCCAGGAGGTGATGTGGGAGCTTGGTTTATTTACCACTTCAGGGGAGTTTGGATGGAACATGAATGAATTCCCATCCAATGCAAACACTGATTTAAATGGTGTGACTAAAGAGCATTTCCCCTTCTGGCTGTGTTATGTCTCTGGAGTCACAAAGCTGCAGGTTCTCTCTGACCTTTCTGGGAAAAAACAGCTACTGGGGACCTGCCCTTCTGGAAGGAAATTCTGGGGGGAAAGAAAAGGTCTTTTTTATGGCCCTTAGTGAACGACTCTTTTTCCTTTATTTTCAGTCTGTCCTGAAGTTGTCCTTTGATTTTTTTTCTCTTCCCCTCTGGATGATCCAACCTTGGGCATTTCTGGACCCTTTATAAAGTGAAACGTGCAAAATCCCAGCAGGCAGCAGATGTTATAATGCTTAACTTTTAGCATGAGAGATAAGCAGTTGAAGGGCTGGGAGACAGCTGCTGAGGGGACTTGGTCAGAAAGTTCCTTAAGTGAGTGAGATTTGGCCCAAAGAAAACCTGTCCAAGAGGAACAGAAGATATGTGCAGGGAAGGGCACAAGAGGAGGTGGGCTCAGCTGGGATGACTTCTCATAATTTCTCTCAATCCTTCCTTGCTGCATATGGCTAACAGATAATGTATGACCAGAGCTGGAGCTTCATCCCCACATTCATCCTGGTGAGGAACAGGACAGGGAGGCTGGAGTTCATCCCCAGATTCATCCTGGTGTCCAGTGAGGAGCAGGATGGGGGGCTGCTCTGGAGTTTATCACCAAATTCTGATCCTGGTGTTCAAGGAGGAGCAGGATGGGGAGGATGCTGTGAAGTTTACCCCCAAATTCATCCTAATGTTAAATGAGGAATAGGATGGGGGGCTGCTCTGGATTTTATCCCCAAATTCACCCTGGTGTTCAGTGAGGAGCAGGACAGTGAGGCTGCTCTGGAGTTTATCCCCAAATTCATCCTGGTGTTCAGTGAGGAGCAGGACAGTGAGGCTGCTCTGGAGTTTATCCCCAAATTCACCCTGGTGTTCAGTGAGGAGCAGGACAGTGAGGCTGCTCTGGAGCTTCCCTGAACTCTTCCTCCCAGCCCCACCCAGCCCAAAGGCTCTTGTTCTCACCAGTTCATGCTCTGGTGCCTCATTAATGTTTGCATATGGCAAAGAGCAGTTTCCACCCTCGGTTTCCCCTGCAGTGGCACAGGGTGCAGGACAGCCTGTGCTCTGCCTGTGCTGCTCCACTCCTGCTCATGGAAGCTCCCCTGCAGCACTCTCCCTGTCCCTGGAGGGAGCTGATCTCCAGTCCCTTTGTCTCACCTGTGCCCAGGGTGCAGGACAGGGCTGAGAGCTGTCCCCTGCTCTGCTGTGGTGTGTGGGGACAGAGGAGTTTGCAGGGCCTGTGACACACAGCTAATGACCTTCTCCCTGCCTGTGTTTCCTTTACGTCAGAAGTCAGAGTGCTTATTAAGTTTGGAGGCTTACTCCCAGGAGCAGAAGAAGAGGATCTGCTGGTGTCTGGCTGAGAACATCACCAAGCAGCAACATCCGGCAGCGGCTCCTACGGAGAGCAAGGTAAGAGAGCCACAGGAGCTGGGGATTCCTGCCTGGAGCACGGCAGGCTCTGCCTCTGGGGGGCTTTGCTCAGGGATGCTCCTGCCAGGAGGGTGTGCAGGAGGCTCTTTGATTGCCAGGTGAGCAGGGAGTTTGTGTTCAGGCACTGCTGTGTCTGCAGCTTCCTGCCCTGCCTGGGGAGCAGTGACTGCATTTGCATCTGCTGGCTGGAGCTGAGGCAGGCTGGGCTGACACCTCCCAGCATCTGTATTTGGATATTTGGACAGCTGAGGCTCCACAATCCCGTGGCCAGCCTGCTCTGAGAGCTTGCCTCTGGGGCAGGATGGAGAGCAGAGGGAGAGGTTCAAGCTGGGATCTCTGGGTGCTGAGGTGATGGGAGTAGTGGGGCAGAGAGTTGCCCCTTCTGTGGACTTGGGTGGGCTCAGATGTTTGATCTTGACCCCACAGATGTGCACAAAGCACAGAGGGCTCGTTTGGGCAGTGCTGTTTTTCATGCCCAGCAAGGCAGCCCCAGCACTTTTCCCACACTGAGGAGCTCCAGCCTGGCCCGGGAGCGCTGTCTCAGCAGCTCTGGCAGAGAAATGTGTGTGAGCAGAGCTCTGAGGCTCTGCCTGCCCTCTCTGGGTGCACTGAACACCCTCACCCACCTCCTCTGGGGCTGGGGCTGCCCCACGGAGCTGTGTGGGACTGTGGCACTCTCTGCTGGGTCGTGTTGTGTCCCAGGGGCTGGGTTTGGATTGCTGGAGAGTGACAGTGCTCTGGGAGAGGAGAAACCCCTGGAGAGTGACAGTGCTCTGGGAGAGGAGAAACCCCTGGAGAGTGACAGTGCTCTGGGAGAGGAGAAACCCCTGGAGAGTGGCACTGCTCTGGGAGAGGAGAAACCCCTGTGTGGGTGTTTGAGGAGCTTTAAGTGCTGCAGATGGGGATTTTGGGGGTAAAACGCCCGGATCCCTCCCTTGGCTGGTGCAGGGTGGTGGAGCAGCTCCTGCCCCATGTTCCTGTTCCTGTGTGGGGCCCTGTCCCCATGTTGGTGGCTGTCCCCTGCTGTCCCCGTGTGGGTGGCTGTCCCTGTGTTGGTGGCTCTCCCCGTGTTGGTCCCTGTCCCTGTGTGGGTCCCTGTACCCGTGTTGGTGGCTCTCCCCTGCTGTCCCCGTGTGGGTCCCTGTCCCCGTGTGGGTGGCTGTCCCCTGCTGTCCTCGTGTGGGTGGCTGTCCCCGTGTGGGTGGCTGTCCCCGTGTGGGTCCCTGTCCCCGTGTTGGTGCCTGTCCCCGTATGGGTCCCTGTCCTTGTGTTGGTGGCTGTCCCCGTGTGGGTCCCTGTCCCTGTGTTGGTGGCTCTCCCCTGCTGTCCCCGTGTTGGTGGCTGTCCCCGTGTGGGTCCCTGTCCCCGTGTTGGTGGCTGTCCCCGTGTAGGTCCCTGTCCCCGTGTGGGTCCCTGTCCCTGTGTTGGTGGCTGTCCCCGTGTAGGTCCCTGTCCCCGTGTGGGTCCCTGTCCCCGTGTTGGTGGCTGTCCCCGTGTGGGTCCCTGTCCCCGTGTTGGTGGCTCTCCCCTGCTGTCCCCGTGTGGGTCCCTGTCCCCGTGTTGGTGGCTGTCCCCTGCTGGCCCAGGGCGGGTGGCTGTCCCCGTGTGGGTCCCTGTCCCTGTGTTGGTGGCTGTCCCCGTGTGGGTCCCTGTCCCTGTGTTGGTGGCTCTCCCCTGCTGTCCCCGTGTGGGTCCCTGTCCCTGTGTTGGTGCCTGTCCCCTGCTGGCCCAGGCCGGTGGCTCCTCCCTCAGCCGCGGCCCGGCCCGGCCCGGCCCGGCCGGCGCTGCCCGGCCCCGCTGCCGGCGCTGCGGCTCCGCAGGCTCCCAAAGTGGGTCAGCACAAACAGCTCCGCAGGAGACACAGCCTCCGGATTCCTTTTCCTGCACGTTTCAGGCGGACTAAAATAGCAACAGCAGCGCACAAAGCCTGAGAACCTCGTTACCAACCCAGCCTCCCGCTCTGCGGGCGGCCCCGGGCCGCTGATGCACACAGGTGACAGCTCGGCCACCTCTGCTGGCCCTGGGGCACCCGGCTGGCACTGCCCGGGCACGGGGCCCTGCTGGCACCCACCGACCCTGGCTCTGTGCTGGGCTGGTGCGATCCTGCCACGGGCTGGGGACCATCCAGGGTGGAGCTGTGCAGGGACATTTCCAATCTGAGCATCTCACAGGGGCAGCTCGGTGGGGCTCCACCATGGCAGGAGCTCTGGGCTCCTGGGGCTTGCAGGGGATGGGGCTGTTTGCCCTCCCCAGCCCAGACTGTTCATGGCAGGCCATGGAGCTGTGCTCACAGCAAAGCCTGGAGCATCTGCTCCCTGAGCTCTGGAAGGAGCCTGGCCACTGGGCAGGTGAAAAAGTGCTCCAGAGGACATCACATCTCTTTCAAAAGCTTTTCTGTGCCTCAGGAGCCAAGAGGGTGTTTGTTCTTTGGGTGCTGTGGAGAGCCACCATGGGCCCTCCAAAGTCGTGACAAAGGGGGTTTATCTCGGCTTGCCAAAGCTGGTGGAAATCCCACTGGTGGGGTGTGGGGCCAGGAGGGAGAAAAGGAGTGTGACAGCAACTACCAGGCACTGTAAATTGAGTTTATAGCAACACTGCCATCCCAGCAAGGTGTAAAGTACTCAGGATGCAATTTTAAAGCAAACCTGGTGTGAAATGCAAGAAGGAGCAGCAGGGAAGGAGCTCCCAAGGGGACAGGGAGGGTGCTTGGAGCAGGGTGGGCACACAGGGCTGGGCAGGAGCCTGACCTGGGAGAGCTGCAGCTAGGGCTGTGTCCAGGCTGGTTTGTCAGGACAGACCTCTCTGGGGATGCCAGAGCAGTGGGAGACAGGAGCTGGGAAAATCAGCTGCTTCTTGCAAGGAAGAACTGATCCATTAGCTTGGCTTACCAGTCATTTGATACTAGGGCTATTTAGGGAAAAACCCAGTGTCTGTGCTCTGTGAACAGACAAATTAGGCTGGAAATATCAGCCTTGCCAGGAATCTGATTTGCAAAGCCTTCAAAACTGCTGCAGCTTAGCAAGAGGCAGCTCGTTTTGCTGTGGCCACAGTCTGGCCAAGGGGATGTGGGCTTTGCTGTGGGGTGGGAATGAAGGGCCAGCACAGCCTTGGTGCCAGCAGAGCTGTGCCATGTGCCAGCTGTGTGCTGGAGCCAGGAAAAGGGACACTGACCGAGCACAGAGCAGCTCCTTGGGAGCCTCCATGGCTGCCAGCAGTGGCAACCTCCAAGCTGTGCAGAGATCAGACAGATTTGGGGCTTTGGGGTGGTGCCTCCTGTTTCTCAAGGCCCCCCTGAGCTCTGCCTGGGCAGGGCAGCACTAAGGGCAGCAAGGTCCCCGTGGCTCAGGGCAGGCTCTGCAGAGCTGGCAGTGCCTCTGGCAGTGCCCCTGGCAGTGTCCCCAGGGAGGATGGTGTCAGGCCAGGAGGATGAGCCCTGCAGGGGCTGTGTTGGCACTGCTGCTTTCAGAGCTGGCTTTGGAGCAAAGCTGTTGGTTTCTGGGGGACTTGAGCAAATGCAGCATCTGCTTCTGGAGATGGAGGAAGAGACAGCCATGAGGGATGCAGCTGTGATAGTCCAGCCCTGCTCCCAGTGGGCTTTTCCTGCCAGAGTCAGGGCAGGAGGAGCTCTGGGGACAGCATGGATGTTGTTGTGGCCCAGCTCCCTGTCCCCAGTGTCAGATGTCAGTGTCAGGGATGTGGTGCAAATGGGGCTCTGCTGCCACTGTAAGGCTTGGCTGAACTGCCCTGAGCTGCAAACCCACTCAGGCAGCTGAGCAGCTCCCAGGAATTACCCTGTGGGTGTTTTCTCCACCTGCAGAGCCTTCTCCCTCTCGTCCTTGTGCCCAGGTCTGCCCTGGGATGCTGCCCCCTGGCCTGCGGTGCTGAGCAAGTCCCTGTAAAACACATCCCCAGCTTGGAGCAAACCTTCCCCAGCGGGGCTGTGAGGAGCCTGGAGGCTGCCTGGGGCTGCCAGGAACCACAGCCATGGCAATGTGATTACAGAGGAGCAGCTTTGTGCTTTAACTGAGTTAACCCCGGCTCGGGTGCTGACCATCAGTGCTGGGCTCCCCTCACATTGCTGCACCTGCTGGGCAAATTCAGCCTGGCTGAAGGAAGAGAGGGCAAATGCAGAGCAGGGGCAGGGCAGGCACCGGGCTGGAGCTGCTCCAGCTGCTGTGGCTGCCAGGCAAAAGCTCCACACACAGCAAACCCCCGTGTGTGATGGAAAAGCTCCACACACAGCAAACCCCCGTGTGTGACAGACCTGCTGCCACCGTCTGATTCTCACTGCTTGTTTCTTTGTGTCTTCCACACTCAGAACGGCTGATTACTCTTCCCTTCTGGCTCCGTGACCTGAGATTACCTCGGAGATGATGGCTGGCTGTATCTGAGAGATGCAGATTATCCTTAAGCTAAATAATTACGGACACTCGGTGGCGTGGACTTTGGGAGTCCAGGACGGGTGCTCCCCTTGTTTCCCGAGGGCGGTGGTGGATGCTCAGCGCTTTCCCAGCCCTGCTGGGAGCAGCGTGGATGACCCGGCCCCTCCTGGCAGCGCTGGCTCCGGTGCGGGGGGACCGGCCCCTTCCTGGCCGTGCCTCTGCTCAGGAAGGGCAGGGCTGTTTCTCTCACTTATTTACAACGTGCTTGACAAGTGCGAGTAAATGAGCTGTCGGCAAAGCAAACAGTGTGTGATGGAGGGCTGATTGAAACCAGGGCTGGGAGGGCTCCGGGGCTGCTCCTGGCACCTGCAGCTGCTTCAGTGGGGTCACCCCTCTCCTGTCCCACCCCCTGCCTCCTCTTCCTCATCCCAAGCACCTCAGGCACCCACCCCCACAATCCCTGCTCCTTGGCACCCCCTGCCCCAGCAAATCCCTTCTCCTTGCACTGGGGCATCTCCTGGCCCTCCTTGCACAGCCCAGCACCAGGCTCGGGGGTGGCTGTGACAGGCACTTGGGGACAAGTGTGGACAGCCCCGT